TACTATATATATATATATATATATATACAAATAACGTTTCAAGGAAATACCTCACTAATGTTTATACGACTAATATATTGTTACGACAGCGGAAGTCACGTGACGCTCCTGGCGCATTGGAGCTGGTGGTGTGTGGGAGGAGTTTCTTGAATGATCGTGAATTTCCTAGTTTGTTCCAGGCGCCGCTTTTTTTAGTATATAAGCCCGGCAAATAAAGCGAGATAATAATGGCAGATAGATAGATATAGAGACAGATAATTGAGTCAAGCGAGCGGTAGTGACGGTAATATAAAGTGTGTGTGTTTTGTTATCGAGATTGCAAACGTATTGACTGTAAAAATTATGTGTATTGCAAAGTTGTATCGAGAAAGAATAAAGTAGTTTTAATTAAGAAAGGACTTGTATCGCTGAAGTTTCTCGGAAAGAATTTCTACGGGAAATTAACAAACAAGTAGATACGCAACAATATAAACTTACTTCTTCAACTTCACTGCTAATTGATCAAGTAACTGAATATATCCGACAACTAACACTAATCAAAATACTTCACTGAATGATCGGCACTCTACCAATTGAAAACTGGCTCAAAGTTTCATAGATTCTCGTATTTACAACTTATGTCTCGCTTCTAGATATATGTCTAAGTTACCCATTTTTTATGACGTCATCTGGAACATTCTAGGATTACTTTTATAAACTTTTCGCTCTTAACATCATGCGCCCTCTTGCTAACATATAAGCTTAACATTAATTTAAAGAAGCATTATCTCGGGAGTACTCTAACAATATCTTCATTACAACTTAGATATTTCCACTTAATTTGGTTTTCCTGAATGTGGAACTATCCTGGATAATGTACGACCATCGAGATGAACAAATGACATTGTATGCAAATGTAGTCTAAATTCATAAGTTAGAAATGTTTCTGTTCACAAGTCATACAGATTGGAGAAAGGATATATTGCACAAGTATTTGCAACATCTCCCTGTCTGGATCATAATGGTTGATAAGTTACTATGCACGAATAAGTTTTGTACCATATTGTTTGAACCTGTTTTTTATATGGTTGTAAATTGATGTGTTGTGCTCACTGATTATAAAGATTTGTAAAGGTTATTATGCACGAGTAAGAACACATACTTATCGTTTTAATTTGTATTTCAGTGGGGATTTACTGTCTGAATCGCAAAATTTACCAAAATAGTTTTATCAAAAATTGGTTCAGTATCTCATTTGGCTGATTCTCATGGTTTAGTGAGTATGTAAATATACGCTGTTTGTATTTTGTGATCAGGACTAAATAAGGTATTTTGCATAGACGACTTAAGTCAATCATTGTTTGTCTCGTGGGTTCATCGTTATTTTGTTCTGTGGATGCTTTATGAAATATTAATAATTACAAATATGATTATATCCTATAGCTAACAGGTCATCCTGGCCATAGATTAGTTTCCTGTTTAAACTAATTGCAAACATTTTTTACACCCACCTTAGAGTTATGACATTGATAGATTTGCTGTGAAATGCTGTTGAAGATTTTGGATTTTATGTCTTGTTTAAAGCGCCATCTATTATTTTAATTTCAAAGTTCTACTTTTTTTGTTTGAAATGAAATATTTTATTTTTGTGAAAACAATTTAGACAATTTTTGACGCCTTAAAAGACAATAACATAATACTGAGATCGGAAGGACTTTTTTTAGAAAAAATATTTAGTCGTTTTTGTTTTGTTTTTTCAAACTGTAACAACCGGTTATTTGGCTATCTATAGTATATACCGGCGCGATACACGTCGTTACTGCCTCAGACATTCATGAATCATGGAGAAGGTTAGGCTCACCTGATGCTACTTCCGTCTTCTGTGAAACTGTTCTAGAGTCTAACTAGTTCATCAACATAAATATACACGCACACAAAATACGACATTATACTGTTACTGTATATAGACGTAATAGTAACTGGAGGCCACATTTACTGGCCTGCTGGAGCTCACTGTCACGGCCACAAAAGTTCGTTGAACTCGACAGGAAGACTATGGGCTTACCAAACACCATCTCACCAGCTGGAAAAGTATCGTTACAGTGTGATGTCACGCACGCTTTAGTTAGTAGCGCGACCTGTTGGTGAACCTGACCGTCGGTGTTAGTAGTGCAGGAATTGTTTCTTGTCTTTTTTTGATGCCCTATCTAGCTCGTTGCGTTACTTCATTTGTTTGGCAAGTCTAACCTGTTATGTTTTTATTAGATTATTTAATCAAACTCCGTGTAGTAAACTTTTAGGTACCAGACGTCGTTTTACCGTATCCATTTTATAATTGTATAATACGATTTACGATGGCCGAGAATGTGATATTTGTTCGAATGATAATCTGAATTACTTACGATAAGTTATTTTTCATCATTCAATCTCTGTCGTTCTAGCTCTATGAAATTTACATGCTTTTAAAAATCCATCGGTATTTCAAAGAAAACTTTTCATGCCATCTTTCAGGGATTTTTCAGAAGAAGCATACAGAAACAGATCGAATACCGGTGTCTCCGAGACGGCAAATGCTTAGTTATTCGTCTAAACCGCAATCGTTGTCAGTATTGCCGCTTTAAAAAGTGTCTCGCCGTGGGAATGTCCAGAGACTGTAAGTGTGCATTAATAATATTACTTGTAAAACGTGTAAAATTTTCTTATAAGTTGCCTTAACCTATTCAGTTTTACTTAATATTTGCGAACTTTGTGAAAACTGTGACGCATATGCAAATTTAGTAACTATTACTTTTATGTAGAAACAAAGTAAATCATTTCGCCATCTTCGGTGTACAAATTTATCTAAGTAACTTACGTTCATTCCTGATGTAAATTCACAGAAACGTACACCAGATAGTGTATTCGAAAAAGGTTGATGATATAAATATATCGGACTCTATGATATATATCCTTCAATATTATGGATTTTTTCGCGCCATTTTCCACAAAAAGAAAAAAGAAAAGAGACGTGAGTGTTAATACAGTAATTGATGGTGTACATAAATATTGCTATTTTCAATTAAATACTGTATTATGTAAATTTGGTGTTAATATAAATCAAAAATTTTTTAATGAAAATAATGAATCAATTTTGTATGACAGTACAGTTTTTACAATACGGATTAGCGATGATTAGCTCGAGCAAAGACTTTTGGTTATAAATAAGAAGTGAGGTATTGATAGCGAAAAAAAAATCATCAGACGAAGACGTAAACCTTGCTGTCGTCGTGAAACTGTAGAATTGGTCTGCTGGAGTGCCATTTAAGATTTCAATAGTGGGACAACTTTTATTTGATGTCCAGGGAATCGTAAACAATCTTGAGTTTTTGAAAACTGGTCTATTTTGGGAGCATTTTTTCGAATTTTTTTTTTTTCAAATAACGTAAATTACATTTTATATGTATATATTGTTCTCAAAATCAAAAAAATATCTCCCTCCCCCAGTTTATTCTGTTTTATAACAGCTTACATCCCTGATTTGGAGATAAGCTATCACTGTGTATGAAAAAAATATCAAAATTTAAACACGAAAAACCGTTTAGTCATAGCGCTAACGATTGACTCAGTTGTATAATCTATAAAATTTATTCTGGGTTGTTGTTGAATCATTTGGGTTATTGGCCAGTGAGAAAAACAACAACAACAACAAAAAAAAAAAAAACAACAATTAAAGAACTTGCTTTGAAGTTCATGAACGTTAGAATTGAATTACATTACATGTAGTGGATAAGCCAATGTGGTAAATGTGAGTGGACTTAACAGGTTTTGTGCTCAATAACATCTTTGACTCACAGACGAACTCCGTGTGAGTAGTGGTGATATTTATATTGCGTTAAATTTTCTTTGCCCTCAATGTACGTCATAGTAGTATAATGGATTTTAAAGTTAAATTTCACAGAAAATGTATCTCTGCGTGATTACCAAATTATTAAAACTCATTAACCTGGGTTACTTTTAAAGTAATGGCACTATTTTTCAAAGTATGGTTGCAAGTAGAACTATATATAATTTCATTTGATGAATATTTTGTAAATTCTTTATGTATTCGAGATGGTATTTGTTATTACAATATAATATGTTGCCGTTTTAAAATATAGATTGCTTTGTTCTTTATGGATGTATTTTGCAGTATATCGACACTCCGGATCGGTCGTGGCTTTGTAGTCAGTGTGTCGAGCTGCAGATGGCAAAGCTAAGGTTCTAGCTTCCTATACTGCTAAAAACACTCCACGCTTTAGGCATTATAACTATGACAATTCTTCCCGTTATTCGGATAAGGTTAGCCATGTAGGTGGCGAGTGTTGGTGTCTGGTTGACCTCTCTCCAGTCAGTAGTTTTAAAATGAGGATGGCCTGCCCGAACCTTAATTGGGGTCTTTGTTCTAACCGTTTATCCATTTGTTATATAAGATGTCACTCAGGTTAAAAATTACAAAACTTCCTGTAGTTATTTGTATTGTATTTGGTGTTTTAAAGAGGTCTCACGCTTGTTAAAAAGTTTCAGAAGGTTGAAATATATTTACAAGCGTTTAAATGAGAGTCATGCGAACATGCTTCTATATTATGTAAATATACTTAGATCTGATTCAAAGTTAAAACATTGTTAGTAGTCCAGACACTTGAGCTGCAAATGTGATTTCATTGATTATCTTTTTGATTATGTAGTGTACATGTTTCGTTTTATAATGGTGTTTTACAGCTGTTCGGTATGGTCGAGTACCAAAAAGGTCAAGAGAACGAAATGACGATGGCCGAGTTACTCAGGCAGAAGCTGATCAGTCAGCGAGAGAACTAGAGAACAAACAACTGGCCATGTACGATATCATTCTGACTATATCTCAAGCCCACCACGCCAACTGTGCCTACACAGAAGAAAAGACAAGATGCTTAGCCCGAAAACCAGCAATATTTGTAAGCACCGAGGTTTTGTAAATGTTTTTCACTTGTAAAACTTTAACCAGATGCAATAACTCTAGAGTTATTGGCTGTATTGACTTTAACGCGTTTTCCTAAACTGTTTATGCGCCAAATTACTTGCGGGTGCAACATACTCACAAAAAACCCCAACAAAAAACAATAATATTGCAATTAATACCTCCTAATTCTTGCTGGGGTTCTACATTTTTTTACATAAAAATAAGTGATTAGTTCTTTACAATTAGTGGTCTAACAGTCAAAAACAAAATTACTTATTTTGATGGAGTCCACCGATTGTTAACCGTGTAAAATTATGTCGGCTATTGGAGGCTTAAGACGGAACTTTTCAAATATAAACACAAACATTTTATTTTTTAACTTCAATATAAATATCTTAAGACAGGCAACTATTTTTTTCTTTTGTAATGTATTACTTATAATTATTGTTTAATGCATGCAAATAAATTCATATTAAGATCTGATAGTTCAGGTTTTAAAAAAATATTTGTAACATGCCTACGTCAGGTTTTATACATTATTTTAAGCCTTGATAGAAACCAGGTTCGTAATATAACACGCCTTCTTTCTTTCTTTCTGTTTTGTTCATTAAGTTCTCTTAGACATTAATATAGAATTAGAATAATTTTTAGCATCATATCCTAGAAACACATCTACACCCAAGCTAATGTTTCTAATTTTGTTCTTTTATTTTTTTCATTTAGCAGAGTTTAAACGAAGTTCAACCGGCCACATCTGATGACAATGGAAGCGGACAGATTACTGCTGACAGCTTGGAACATCAGAAGATTGTTATGTGGCAGCATTTTGCTGTACTGGTCACTCCGTCCATCCAAAGGGTGGTGGAATTTGCAAAGCGTGTCCCCGGATTCTTAGAGTTAACTCAAGATGATCAGCTTATCCTTATCAAGTTAGGTTTTTTTGAAGTCTGGCTTGTCCACATTGCCAGAATGATCAACACGTTAGAAAACAGTGTAACGTTCAGCGACGGAAGTTATGTCTCCAGGCAGCAAATGGAGCTGATGTTTGATGTAAGTTACCGTGACTTAAAGAATCGAACTGATCGTATGTATTATAGAACTTTGTAATTGTTTGGCTAATTTACCTAGTTATTGATAATGTCTTACCTGAATTTTCGTGATACATAGAAAATGCACAACAAAATGTAGAAAGTACAGATAGTGGTGGATTGGAAAGTTTTAATTACCATTTGAAAGTTCTCAGGTTAACAAATGTCTTACTTTGTGACTTATATTTTCAGTAATAATTCATTATATTTGATACAATATATTATTAAAGAAAATTTAAAACTATGTATTATTATTGTGAATGGAGACAGAACATCTTGTGTCTTGACACAAAAGTAAAATCAACGAATTAAAGCAAAACAGAGATAAGCCAAATACTTTAATATAATTTATCTTGCCTTGAATTACAGTGGAATGTATTGCCAAACTAAATATCTTACTATGGAATATACACATTTAAAATTGTTTTGGCTCAAAACAGAGTACTCTCAGATCTCTGATACCTAAATAATAGAAGAAATGTAATATGTTTTCATATTTAAATGTATCATTTGTGTTGCTATTATATTTTTTTACCCACTGTTTGACCTGATCATGGTACAGTTTGCTGGACTGTATCAGAGATTCTGTGGATTACATCCAATTAGCACTAAGAATAAATGTCTTACTCCACACCATGGGTGCATAATATGAATGATGGTCAAATTCCATAATTTGGTCTGAAAAAAGTTGGTGCTGTAGACTAGTTTCCTTCTCTCTAGTCTACCACTTTAAAATTAAGGATGGATAGCACAGATAGTCTTCATCTAACTTTGTGCAAAATTCAATAAACAAATCAAAATGTTTGGTGTTGAAAATATGGTATTTAATGTCTGTAATCCAACAAATGACATTAGTGTAATATGCAAAAAACACAATGTGTTTATAAGGAAGACATTTAGAGACATAAAAATAGGGTGTGCTATTATGATATAGCTATACCTGCATAATCATTAAATCAGAAAGCACAATGTACCATGATTAAGTATTTTTATTTTACATTGAGTTAAAGTGTAAATTGTGTGATTTGAACTATTTGGATGATGGAACATAAATTACATAAACAGATTATTAAGATCAAACCTTTGCAGTTAATCTTTGAACAAATAAAAAAAATCCAATTGTATGTAAAGAAGGACATAAGTTGACTTTTTCACATTTTGTGAAGCTATGCTTGTTTAAGTTGTTTTATTAATATCTTTTTTATTAACTGAAAAGCACCTTGAAGTTAACATTATAGGGTAATTAATACATCAGTTCTGTCACAGATAAGTTTACCAAAATTGAATCCTAGTTAATTAAGAAGTATGTCCTGGAAAAGTAAGAATTAAAAGTACAATACAGAAATAAACATTTATATCACACTGTTTGAATTTCAGCTGCATTGTTGTTGTTGTTTTTTACAGAACGAATTTGTGTCTTCTATGTTTAACTTTGTTGTGACCTTCAACAACTTCCAGTTGAATGACACAGAGATTGGGTTATTTTCAGCAGTAGTGCTGCTGACATCAGGTGTGTAGATGCTATTTATTTTCATTAGTGAAATTGCTTATATAGTAATGACATTTCCTGGGCAGCTTGCTGTCCATCACATCATTAAGAAACAAAAAATAAAAGTACTACTATGGTTTACTCTCTATGTTACCGTATGTTATAACGGCTTTCAATATCACAAGATATTTTAGCACTCAATATTATTTTGCAATACACACTGATGTAAAGAACAATAATACTTTCTGATTTTGTCAAAATTATCTTTTTCTGTGCATATGTATATAACATGAGAATATTGGTGGCAAAAATATTTCTACTACCATGTCATAAAATAGCTGGTTCAGATTGGAGTGCCCTTTATGCTAAATTCATTTGCATAGTGTTTAATCATTTAGAAAACTAAAGATCTTCAGTAACCAATGATCAAATGTAAATACTTAAACAAAAGTTCAATGTGACTACTTAAGAATATTATAAAAACTATTTCACATGATGTTTTGGGCTATTACCCTTTTTCAAACCTACTTTCAAGTCAATCAGTATATTTTAAATTGTTCATTACCTATATTCCTATAATGTTCTTTGTCTATTTCATGTATAGCACACAGAAGTATAGCATTCATGTATATGTAACTGTTTTTGTTTTTTTATAAAACTGTATTTGTAAAGTAGAAACAATTTATTTGAAAATATATTACATGCTCAATGGGAACTACCATATTGGCCCGATTATAGGGCGATCTCAAATGTAAGGCGACCTCCATTTTCAGAAACCATGGGAAAGAAAAAAATTTAATGTCATAACTCCTTTTTTAGGTCCATGAAATGCTTTTCTTGTAGAATGTGCATTAAGGAATTCAGTTTTTTGTTTCCACCAATGCCTCAAACTATTTTCATTTATACCAAATTTTCTAGCAGCAGGACAATTGTTCATTTTTCTGCCTCATGCACCATCATAATTTTAAGATTTGCATCATAACACCATTGAAATCCTTTTGTTAATTTGACACCTTCTTGTTTCCTGTCTTTCAACTTGGTCACTCATTCTTGTACAAGGGTCAGTCACTAAGATGAGACTCACAGACAACACTTATTATAAAATTGAAAATGATCACAGTCAAAGCAATAATGCACCAGCAAAATCAATACTATAACTGAACAGCCTGCATGCAGATTAGTTACAAGAATTAGCGATGACCTTGAGTGAACATCTTACAAATGCTATCTGGACATTCAGGAAAACGACAGGCTAGAGTAGGGGCCGTGGTCTGGTGTGATTCTAATTTTACAGCCTAATTATGAATCAAAAGACATTGCCTTATAATCAGGCCAATACGGTACATCTAGAATGTACATAATAATCAGCTTAAAATTGATGAAGAAACACTGATTAGTGTTTTGTTTGGTTCTACAGAGAGGTTGGGCATTTATGACAACAAGAGTATAGATCAGCAACAGGAGAAGCTGATGGAAGCTTTGAAACTCCAGATTGGTCGCAACCATCCTAGTGAACAACATCTCTTTCCCTCCTTGATGATTAAGTTACCAGAGCTCCGTGCTCTTGGTGGGAAACATATGGAACACTTACAGTGGTTTCGAGCTAACTGGGCAAGGCTTAAGCTCCCTCCTCTTTTTGCTGAGATTTTTGATATACCAAAATGTGAGGAAGATTTAGTACAATGATGACGTTGTAGGTAAGTCTTAAGAAAATTATATTCATTTCTTCTAATTTTCTCCGTATCTTTTTGAAATTTTCAAAGTTAAAAAATAATATTAACTTTTAGAAAATAAATCTTCCAAGTAGTTTTTGATTTAAACTTACTTCGGGTGAATTGTGAACAAACATTTTAATTAATGTAAATCAAAACATGAGAGGAAACTTCTGAAGATCATGTTTTCTATATTGAAGCTTTCCCTTAATGTTCAGTGTGTATGACATTTAGCCTAATTATTTTTTTTTCTAAAAATCAAGAAATGTATATTTTAAAATTAAAACCTCCATATAAAATTGAGAAAAAACTATTTGATAACTTTCTAACTTAGTTTATATTTAGGAAAAACCTTTAAAAATTAAAATAATAGCTTCATTTGCAAGGGTATTCAAGGTTATGAGGCAGAAATGACTTGGGTATTTTTATATTTGACATCTTTTGGTTATGTTAAATAGATGAGAAGTTTAATTTTTGGTTTGAAAGTATCATTTCTGATGTTAAATACAAAATACTGATTTATAAATAAAAATCAGAATTTCAATTTATTAAGTGTTTTTTGCAGTCTCATTATCATATTTAAAAAAATACAAAAATTTAGAAGTTAAGATTGATCATCGACAGTTAGAGCACTAGAAGAACTATGTATTAAGAAACTGTTGTATTCTTTTTAAGATTCAAAAAGAAGTATAGTAGACCATGCCAGTCTGTCGTCCACTCGTGTTAATCACATGGCAGGTCCAGTTGTTCCCAGCCACCAGCAAGACACTCACTGCCCCATTCCCAGCATTCCAGATTCTAGAATAGCCACAAGAGAGACAGGAAGAACCCCGGGACCAGGAGATCATTGGAATTTATTGTGTTCATAAAACTCGACTGCAAGATTCATCTGTGTAGAGAAAGATATACTATGTGCAGTTTGATCAGTCACTCAGTGATTTCCTATGACCATAAAGTGTTAACTGATGTGTGGAGACTCCTTTTATACCATATTTGTTTTATTGTGTATGTTAAGGTTTCACTCAGTCCACAATCAAATATGGTAGCTGTGTACTGCACCTTCTCTCAAGCTTGACTTTTGTAATTTTAGGTAATCAATAGTATTGTTCATTTCATCAGTAAGCACTAAAGTTAATTCCACATCTTCCATAAACCTGTAATTTTTTGTTTTAGTTAAACAGTGGTTTTGTTTATATAACCACTGAATACTGTAATTACTTTGTACCTTCTACCAAGTTGCGAGTTGTTTTTGTCAAACAGCCAAAAGGTGAACTTTGTTCTATGTACCTCTATATAAGGGGTTGTTTTCTGTGTAATACATGTAGACTGTAGTTTTCTTCTTTTTTTTTTTAACTCCATTGTGAGATCCCTATTGTTGCAGTTTTCACTGCCACAGTTACACTGAGGCAAGTCCTCAAAACAATAAAGAATGAAAAATATTGTAAACCATTGAAGAGATCTATCCTATATTAATTCATGATGTGTGCTTGTGAATTTGTTTGTTTGCATATTCTTTCTACAGTTTTGGAACTAGCAGGACCAAGCTTGGCAGACTAGATGGTGTGGGGGTGTCCTTATTTTTATAATCAACCTATAAAGGGGGAACAAAGTATCCCCCAAAGGTCATCCAGGCATGATGGAGGAGGGGGGAAGTCCTAGGAGTAAGTTTGCAGGGTTGCTGAACTCAATGTGGCAGATTTTGCGTTTCTGGTCCTCATAGGGGTTCCTTTTTTGAAACAATGTACATATTCCCACTGACAAGCTAGTAGGACCAGACTTCACCCACAGCTTAGGAACCAAAGGAAATGTCCTGATGCTTTGAGGGGGCAGACCCCTGGGTAGCTCTAAGTAATTGGGGATAACGAAGGATCTTAAACATATATTGGGATGTTTTTGAATCAAGAGGAGCCCTTTGAACTCATTAGCAATATTATTTATAAACTTTACAAAAAGAATATTCTAGCAAAATGTACAGTACTGATGAACTACATTTCCAATTCTTTAAGTTAATTTACAAGATTAAAATATATAAATATACATCTTTATAAAAACAAAAGGCCTTGAAGAAAGAAAAATTACTAGTTAAACTCAAAACATAGACAAAAATTTATGAATAGAGCCAGTGACTCTATTTAATCCAGTGGTTTCCAAAATTTATGTAGTGGTGCTCCCAACTGAGCATTATTTTTCTTCATACTGAATAATTTTCACAAGTGATAATAACAGCAAATATAGTAGTTTCTTTGCCTCTCTTTAATCAGTTTTTTCACAGGAAAATTTAAAGTGTTAAATATTTATTTTTTCGGGGGGGGGCATGCCACACAGTTTGGAAAACTACTTTTGATGTTTGTCAAAAGATTATGAACAGCTGCACTAAAAAGTACCAAAGAACAATCTCTATTACAGTATTTCTGTCACTGTGATAAAGAATGTTAAACATATAGCTGTACAAAAATATGCATTTATATTTATTTTTTTTACAATGAATTTGCATCATATCTATAGGAAAATCATAGTTGGATACCATTTACACACACAATTTTCTTACCTAAAACATAGCATATTTGGAAAATCTTGTTGTACACAATGCTAACTGCATCTGTGTTAAGATACTTTTTTAGTATGTTACATCACAATTTATGAAACTTGTGTATCAGTTAGTTTGTGAAGGACTAACGCTTGAGTTTCTAACAGAAATACATAATGGAATCATCTGTGTGAAACATGATACTCAGTGTAATACTCATTATGTTACTTTACAGAGGGAAAAAAACTATTAGCTCAAGATGATACCTACCCTGCCAAAATTTATATTTGTGTCCTCTAGTCCTACTATTATTACTGTTAAGTATGAAAAAAGATGATGCATCAACACTATCAATTCCCTTTACAATCTTAAACATCTCAATCACATCCCCCCTTTTTTTCAAGAGAAAACAGTTTGAAAGATTTCAACTTCTCGTATGACAACCCCCTCCATCCCAGGCACCATACTAGTAACCCTCCAACAATTCAATGTCCTTCCTAATACTCCAAATGTGGCCTAACTAGTGATTTATATAATGAAATTATAACCTCTTTAGACTTGTATTCAATATTTCTGTAGATATAACCTAAAATCCTATTAGCCCTACCACTAGCAATAAACACACTACTTGGATGGCTTAAAACTGATCAACTATTACACCAAGATATCTTTCTTTTATGACACTGATAAGGTTATTCCCATCCAAATTATACTTATAATTCAAATTATGATAACCCACATGCATTTATTATGATTAAAATCCATTTACTATATCTTTGCCCAACTCACTAAATGTTCTAAATCCTTTTGTAAATCATCAGCATCCTCTTCACAGCTAGCAACACCAAAGACATTAATATCATCTGCAAATTTAAGTAATTTATTGACTATCCCTTCATCTATGTCATTGATGTAAATAAGAAAAAGAGCAAAGGTCCTAAGACTGAGCCCCGAGGTATCTCACTTGTAACATTATTACAGTTTGACTGAACTCCATTTGTAACAACCTTCTGCTTTCTTCCATCCAACCACTCTTCTATCCAATTTGCTAACTTATCCACCACACCTATAGAAATAATTTTTACAAGCCATTTATGTGGCACCTTGTCAAATGCTTTCTGAAAATCCAGATACACCAAATCTACACCCTTACCCTCATCTACATAAGCAGCAACTTTTTCAAAGAATGTCAAAAGATTTGTAAGACAAGATTTTCCATTAGTGAAATCATGTTGACTATCTAATAAAATTCTAAACTTTGTTAAATGACTTTGCAAAGCATATTTTATCAGACTTTCTAAAACTTTTCCCACAATTGATGTACGACTAATGGGTCTATAATTACTGGAACAATTTTTATCACCTCCCTTGAAAAGGGGAGTGACATTAGCTAACTTTCAATCCTCTGGTACCTGCCCACTATTCAAGGACTTGCAAAAAATTGTAGCAAGTGGCTCACATATACAATACATAACCTCCTTCAAAATCCTTTGGGAAATATTATCTGGTCCAGGAGCCTTATAATTCTTTAAACTTTTCAATTTTTTCTTAACAAGCTCAGAATTAATGTAGTCAACTTGTTCAAATCTTGTTTCCATCTATCAACTGTTCAAGATGTGGAATACTGCTTAAATCTTCGTTAGTAAAAACTGAAGAAAAAGCAAATTTTAATAACCCAGCCTTCTCATGATCATCAACTATGAGCCTTTATCATCCCTCAAGGGTCTTACCCCCATCCTGACATTTTGTTTACCCTTAATGTATTTAAAGAAATCCTTACTGTTAATTTTTATATTTTCAGCTAACCTTTTCTCATACATCCTTTTTGATGTCCTAATTTTCTTTAATTTTATCTCTTATACTCTCTGTGAGCCAACCTGGTTTTTTACTAGCACTCTTTTCTTTCTATAAGGAATATGTTTACCTTGAATATTTGAAACTTTATCTTTACAAATTTTCCACATTTCATCAGTGTCTCCAAAAACTCAGCTGCCCAATTCACAATAGATAATCCTTGTCACATCCCTTCAGAATTTGCATTTTTGAAATTTGTAACCAAAATATCATTATTCCTTATTTCCATATGCAGCAAAACATTGAACATAATAGAGCAATGATCATTTGCACCCAGATGTTCCCCAATTTCCACCCTCTCAATCATTTCTGTATTTGAAGTTAACAATAAATCTAAAATAGCATTGTTTTTAGTAAGTTCCTTGACTAATTGGAGAAGAAAGCCATCTTGAACAGTTTCTAGAAACCTTTCTCCCTCACAGTTTGTCTCTTGCATTTCCCAATCTATATGCCTGAAATTAAAATCACCCATAATTATGACTTCATTAACAGCTAAAATCTTAATCTCATTGTAAAGTTTGTCACTAATTTCATCAGTATAATCTGATGATCTATAACAAGTTTCCACTAAAAGCCTTTCCCTTTATATCTACTAATAGAAACCCAAATATATTCAATCTCCTTGCTATTATCTTTTATATCCTCAACATCAACAGGATGTAGATCACATTTTACATATAAAGCCACTCCTTCCCCCCCCCTCTCTTTAGTACTCTATCCCTATTAAATAGCCTGTAACCCTGTATTTCAAAGAAATTTCTGTCGTCAAAATCATCTACATTTAACCAACTAGGATTCAAATTTTATAGAATAAGCAATTCCTGCACAACATTTAATAAAAACCTGTTTGATTATGCTGTTACCTTCTGGTCTCATGGTCATTGCCTTTTCTACACAACTTACTGGCCAAACACTATTTACTTGACTCAGTTTAAAAACAAAGGAATAAAATGAATATCATCTTATTAGCCTTTAAGCATGAGGGCCGAGATTCTACAGCTTCATAAAGTATTGCTACAATCATTGGTTTCTGTGTAATCTTGACCACTACTACTACTACTGATTTTAGCTCATCTTATTCTTGAAGTCTTACTTAATCATGTTGGCCAATACAGAATCAGCAGACTTCATTTTTGATTTTATATAAATTTTGTGCACAGGACCTACAAGGTCAGTTTATAAATACATAGCATCACAAACCAAAACATACAAACACCATACTTGTCAACCACACCACTGTTAATTAATTGTAACATTTAAGGAAATAATATTAAAATAATTTAATAAAGCTAATGGAAAACTACTAATCGGTGAAAAATGTTCATGCTCACATTCATGGATTTGTTATCTTATTGTGATATATTCTGCACATAATTATAGTATTTTGGCACTTGTGTATAAAGTAAAAATCATAAATAATATTCAACATTAAACTGGTACACAATTAAAAACATTTTATTTAGGCCTATCTATGGCCTT